GACATGGTCTGGAATCGAAAGAAACTTCGTCAGCACGCAGAGCTAATTCAAACACAAGCGGTAGTCAGAGCCCGAGAGATGAAGAGCACAGCTATCGAGGTCGGCTGTCTGGAGCATTGACGGCTGGCGGAGGCATTACTTCTCGTCGCAGGATTCTTCGGTGCCATTGCTTGTTGCGGCAGATTGCTGTGGCCGAGCTTGGCAGATTGTCTCAGACAGTCGGTGACCTGACCCCAGCACTGAAGACGCTTCGGTCTTGAATTTGAGAATCTGCTCGTTCGTGAGATGATTGTGATATGTGTAGTATTGGTGAGCGGTGGTAGACAGCGAACGCGCGTCGGAACCATGCGACCGGGCGGATCATCTTGTCGGGGCTGGGGCCCCGGATGCGGCAGCTGTCACGCTGCAACCAGCGACTCACAAACACCACAGAACCATACTTCGCCTACCGACCTCAACAATTCGTGTGCCCGCACTGCGCGGGTAGATGGACGAGCTGCTTTTTGCCACCTGCAGCTACACTCCCCGAGTTCGGATCTCCACGGGCCGCGATAAAGCGTGACTGCGACCCGGCAAACAATGCCGTCGCGCGACGATGGTGAACTAACAGTGGCATCGCAACGAAGCTGAAGCCTGTGCATAGCTGCAATGATGCCGTCAGCAAAGGGCCTTCCACGGTACCGCGTCCTCTACCAAGCTCTTTCGGAATGCGATGGCCGTCATTTCCTTGGTGAGGACCAAGCGCGCAGTCGTTTCATACCATCGCGATCGCCTCGAACCAGCAGATTGTGCTGGAGCGAACAAAGTCTTGATTCTCTCAACGAGGCTGTGTAGAGCGGCGGGAAATGGACGGACGCGCAATTCCCTCGCGATCAAGACGTCGTCCAGGCATGCGCCTGCCAGTCATTCGGCTTATTGCCCCTGACCAAGGCTCGGCGGGCTTCTGCTAATTCATGACTATGGACTTGGCTGCTTGGTCTCCGCGATTCCTGCGCGCCCGCCAACACCCATCGACTTGGCGCGCAGCAGCGCCAGACAACCCATGAGGGTTGGCAAGTTCCACATGTAGCACTCGGGGGTAACCAAGAAATTGCTCTGTTGCCGCTTCAAATACTGTCGCTAGCCCGGCTTCCGCCTCGACGTTTGCATGCCCTTTGTGTGAGAACTACCTTTCCTACTTTACCAGTCACTCGTTAGACTTCCAATCGCTCTTCTATTTGCCTTTTAATTCTATCTCTTCTCCTGCGCCCGTCATGAAGACTTCTGTCGTCTTCTCCATCTTGGGAGCCGCTATTGCTCCCGCCTTTGCCAGCGTCGTCGCCCGTCAGTCAAAGGGAAAGCTGCCACCGGTCACCGTCAAGGGCAATGCCTTCTTCGCCGGCGATGAGCGTTTCTACGTCCGTGGCGTTGCCTACCAGCCAGGTCCGTCTTTGTGTCACAAGGAACAAAAAACCACGGTGCTAACAGTGTTTAGGTGGTGCCGCCGACGCACAAGACCCTCTGCTCGACCTCGAGGGTCTCGCACGCGATGTCGAGAACTTCAAGTCGCTCGGCATCAACACTGTCCGTATCTACACCATCGACAACTCAAAGAACCACGATGAGGGTATGAAGATGCTCGACGACGCTGGTATCTACCTGGCGCTCGATGCCAACACGCCCGACTACTCTCTCAACCGTGAGAACGAGGACACCCTCCACCGCTCGTACAACGATGTGTACCTGCAGTCCGTGTTTGCCACCATCGACGCATTTGCCGACTACAACAACCTGCTCCTCTTCTTTTCCGGAAACGAGGTCATCAACGCGAAGAACAACACCAACGCTGCTCCTTACATCAAGGCTGTCACTCGTGACATGAAGCAGTACATCTCCAACAGGCACAACCGTGTCATTCCCGTTGGATACTCTGCCGCCGATGTTTCGGAGAACATTGAGTTCCAGGCTCTCTACTTCAACTGCGGTACTGACGATGAGCGCTCCGACTTCTTTGCCTTCAACGACTACTCCTGGTGCGACCCCTCGTCTTTCACCCAGTCTGGATGGGACCAGAAGGTCAAGACCTACGAGGACTACAGCAAGCCCATCTTCCTGTCTGAGTTTGGCTGCATCACCAACACCCGCCAGTGGGGCGAGATCGAGGCTCTCTACTCCACCAACATGACCGGCGTCTACTCTGGTGGTCTCGCTTACGAATACACTGTTGAGCCCAACGGTTACGGTCTTGTCGAGGTCGGCGACGATGGCAAAATCTCGCCCAACGAGGACTTCGAGCGCCTCGCTGAGGCTTACAAGAAGACTGCTAACCCCTCCGGCGCTGGTGGCTTCAAGGAGAACGGCGAGGCCTCTGAGTGCCCTTCCGAGTCTGACGAGTGGCAAGTCGAGGGCACCACGCTCCCTGCCATTCCCAGCAAGGCTATGGCGTTCATGGATGAAGGTGCCGGTGAGGGTCCTGGTCTCGAGGGCGATGGCTCGCACTTCTCTGGTGAACCCAGCGAGTCTACTGCTACCCCCGGATCTGGAAGCCCCACTCGCTCGCCCACTCCCGGCTCCAGCGGTGGTGCTGGCAACCCCGAGGGTGCTGCTGCTGGTCTCGACGTACCCCTCCGTTTCGTCGCTATGATCGCTGCCAGCGCTCTCTTCGGTGCCGCCATTGTATTCTAGGTGGCTCGTTGCTGAGATGTGCAAAGCTTGTGTCTTTCAGTGAGCATGCATATGGGATAGATGTAGAAGAATCGTTTTACTTGTTTCTGGAGTTTTTGACTGCCATAGTCGGCATTGTATATACCTCGGTCGTCACAGATGCGGGGTCTTTTGTGTAGTAATACATACATACATGAACATGCTGCTCGTTCCTCGAACAATTAGTCTGACTTCTGAAAGTGAATGTCGACTAGTTGATGTTTGCTGGCGTTGGCGAAGTGTGCCTGTCAAACATGACCCCACCAATGTGGATGCGATGCAGAGAGGCTAGCGGCGTGGACCCTGGTTTCGAAGGCAGCAATGGAAGCTTCCATGGTTGTGATTGTACCAAAACCAACTACTTTCACCAGCATACGAGAGCAAGCCTCTATAAAAGCCGTCGTACCTCTTACCCCGCTTTACATTGCTTCCACGCCTATTCTTCCGCTCAACTACGTCTTACCCCGCCATGGACGACGCCCGCAAAGGCGACGCTGCTCTCAGCGCAAGCAAACCCGACGAAGCGATTGAACACTACACCAAGGCGCTCGCAGTCAACACCACGGCCGTCAAGTACTACATCGGCCGCGCGACTGCCTACCAGCGCACTGCCAAATATGCCGAATCCCTCAGCGATGCCGAACTCGCCGTCGTCCTTGCAAAGAAACGCGGCTCGCGCGAGCTCATCAAGGACGCCCAATTCCGACGCGCCGTCGCTCTGTTCCACCTCGGAAGATATGCAGATGCCGACCATCTGCTGAAAATCGTAAAAGGTCTTGACGAGAAGGACAAGATGCTCCCCATTTGGGAGTCCAAGGTTGCAACAAAGTTGAAGGATGTACCAGAAGACGACGAGATGAGGAAGGTCACCGTCAAGGAGACTCCGGAGGTCGATGTGCCCAGCGCACCAGTCTCTGCCGCCCCAGCGAAGGCCGAGCAGCCCACCCCGTCCCAGGCCCCGAAGCCTGTCGCCCCAACCCCGAAAGACAAAATCAAGACCGATTGGTACCAGTCGCCTGAAACTGTCACCCTCACAATCATGGCCAAGGGTGTGGCCAAAGACAACGTCAGCGTAGAATTCGAGGAGAGATCCGTGTCCGTCGCATTCCCCACTGCCGACTCGTCGGATTACAGCTACAACGCCGACCCTCTATACGAAAAGATCGACCCTTCACAATCGAAATATCGAGTCACACCCACCAAGTTGGAGATCACAATGCGCAAGGCAACCACGGGGCTGAAATGGCATGATCTTGAGCACCCCGACGGCGACGTTGGCTCTGCTGAAGCATCCACTATTTCTCTGCCCGTCCGCCCAACCAAAGACACCGCCCCTGCATACCCAACGTCCTCCAAGTCAGGTGCGAAGAATTGGGATAAGGTTGTGGTGAGCGATCTCGACGACAAAGACGAGATTGAGGGCGACGAGACATCACATTTCTTCAAGCAGCTGTACAGCGGCGCCACCCCCGAGCAGCAACGAGCTATGATGAAGAGCTACTCGGAAAGCGGTGGCACAGTCCTTAGTACCGACTGGAGTAACGTTGGCAACAAGACCATAACTCCCGAACCACCCGAGGGTATGGAGGCCAAGAAATACTCGGGATGATTGTTGCCTCGCGGCAAGAGAACGAGTTTTTGCCTTATATGTAGAGGACAACGTTTCATGATATGATGCATAGCAGGGTGTTTGGGTAGGCATTAGGAGTTATACCCACAAGACTGAGCGCACGCAAGAAGCCGTGTACGTGGACTTTGTACTGGAATGAAAACATTTCCCTTCGACAATGCAGCGATTTGTGAATATGTACCAACGATAAGAGGATATTTGGCTCGTCCAATCTGAATCATCCAAGCACCTATATTGTTACGATCTTCGTCGTACATCGTAAAGATCTTGGCAACTAAAGCATTAGGAACAATTGCGGGGAAGTTGAACTGTTTTCGTAACCTCGCGTTGCGTAAGCACCGAAAGATCCGAGCTGACATTTCTACGTTGAGCGGAGGTCCGCAACGGAGGGGTGGACCCAGAGGCGAGACAGGGTTCCCCACAGACGTCATAGCCATCGCATCGCAACTCGGACTTCGCGCTTCTCATATTTGCGACACCTAAACATATAAGGATGCAATATCCTAGACTCGTCAATCGTCCTGCTAAATACGTTGACCTTGAGGCAGGCTGAACAGCTCTCTTGTAGATGTTCGCACAAACTGCACGCGCATTGTCGACCATCCACAAACTGAGCTTCTATTCATCTTCAGCATACAATCATATTCCACGCTTACAAGAACGCGGCCGTGCGCATTCACTGAGAGCCATGGCTACCGGTTCAAAGATTCATCTCGAGGCTTCGCAGAAGCCCCAGTTCTATGTCAAAGGACTCAAGGCTGAGAGCGCAGAAAAGGCGAGCCAGCTTTTGCAAGTCAACCACGAGAAGCATCACATCTTCAATCAGAGTGGATTCCATGTAGGTTCTCTGATTGATGTCTGTAAGTTTCCAGGCTTACCAGTACATTCAGAACCACATCGCCCATCATCTCCTCACTCTGTTCGCGCTCAACGCTTCGCCAGAAGAACTCCAAAAAGCATACGACGCAAATGTATCCTATCAACGCCCATCAGAACCGCTCGAAAAGGCCATCGTCAATGACATGCACAAGCCCGAGCGCTTCAAGTCCTATCTCGGGCAAGAGAAATATTACCACGACTTCCTTGTCTACTTCCAACAAGAGATAGACAAAAGCGGGTGGCCACATGTATTGCAGGAGCATCTGTTTGCCGAAACCGAACTTGCAGACGATATGCTGGCACGCATGTTTGCTGGGTTTCTGCATCCCATCATACATCTTGGTTTTGGCATCGAGTTCCAGCAGCCCGCCATTATTGCGGAGGCGCTAGCGCAGGCCGCCGTACACGATAACTGGATAGCATCGCTATTCTTTGGGTGCGAAAAGGCTGCTAAAGAAAGCAGAAGCAAAGACGGACCCAGGAAGACAATCGTGCAGATACTGGAGGGATACAGGAAAGACGACAAGTTGAGCAAGGCCGCGCACTGGGACGATGGAAACAAGATTCGAGATGGAATCATCAAGAGAGCGCCGGAGGAGATGATCGACTATGCGACGCAATATACTGTTAAAGAGGGGGAATTGGAGGAAAAGACTGCTGAGATGATCAACGCCGTGGGTACGTTAGCAGTCCTTCTCCTTCCCCATTCCGTTCCATATGGTTCCATCAACATCACACTAACACGACTCAACAACAGTATACTACACCGCCGCTGCGCAACGCCCACCCCATCAAGTCAAACTCGACTTCTACTTCATCCACTGCCTAAACTCGAGTATCTTCTTCTCCGCCTTCCTTTCTCCCTCTTCCTCCCTTCCCCCAGCGATCCAACGCCGGCTTCTAGAATGGAAGATCTGGATGGATATCACAATGTACGTTTCGCGCGGCTGTCCAACTCTCCTCGTGGATGAAATTACCGGCTACGCGCCCACGAAGGATAGCGGTATGGACGAAGTTATCAAGAGGGTGAATAATGTGGAGGATGATGGGCATGCCTGTAAGCTTGTGAGGGCAATTGCAAATGCCGAGGCGGTCTGCAAGAAGTGGGAGGGGAGAGAAGGAATATTGGTTCAAGGGGACATGTGGAGGAAGTTGGGGCATATGGCTGTGGATAGTGTGGAGGTGGGTGAGCCGCATTGGGTGAGGAGTTGTGGATTTGCGGAAGCTTGGGAGAAGATTCCGTTGAGAGATGGGGCTAAGTTGTGATGGGGTAGGAGGGTGGATGATCACTTGCAGGAAGATAGAGATGTGCATCGCGACACTGCACAGAGTAGAATGAATGCCATGGCTGCCCCTCGCGGCACGACCCTAGCGATTTGCTTTGAGGATGACGTCTTCTCCTCCTTTCATCACAGCAGCCCTACATGAAGCATATATTTGAATGACATATGAAGCGCATTGTCAGTGCAACCGTCAACGGAAGGGAAGCACGTCTTCGGATGCAACGTTCTCCTAGGCAAGCCCGAGCTCATCTCACAGGGCAGTATACGCTACGTCGGATCGATCGATCGAACCAAAATAATATTAAAAGACCGCTTCCTGCCTGGGGATCCACGGTCAATGCAAACCAGCGTGGACGTGAGAGAAAGGCGACATGCGATGGTACAGTGAGTGATGTGCTGTGCGGGCCGCCCATGCACACATCCCTTCTCCCCTTGGTGTATACCAGATAGTCTTCCCCAGGTGTCGCAGATCCGCGGCTCGGGCAAGGCATGTGGCGGCGGCGCAGGTAGCAGCAAGGAGCAACGTAGTTAGTCACACTATCTGTGGAACAATCGGGCGCGCAGGACTCGTGGATCATCATCGAGGGATGCCCTATCGATACACAGCTTTCCTTGCTTGATCTGCGTGCCTTGGGTGACAAATCTTAGCACATCCGGCAGACATGACGGTGGAGTTACACATGCTGATCCTTGCCTCGCACAACCCCCAACGCAAGTCGAGGGTAGCATGAGTTTGACTTTGTTCCAGAAATTCATGCCTTGAAACGTTTTCGGACATGCTATGGGGGTTTTGGCCAATAGGAGAGGCGGGGTACCTGAGCGAAGGCGTGTTTTACATATCTGCCTGAGAATGTCATCAAGGATCTGGGTTTGAGGGCAGTGTTGTGTTTGTAGGCGAGGACAGGAGGGGAGGTGTGAGACGAGTGACAGGTTAATCTTGGAGCAGCCTCGTTCGTGCTGCTGCGATGTCCCTTAGTGAGCGAGGGGCGCTGCGCTCAGCTCTTGCAGGTGTAGTGCCTTGCTCCTGCCGGTATAGTGCCTGCTCCTGCCGGTGTAGTGCTTGCTCCTGCTGGCATAGTGCTCAACTATACGAGCACGAATATAGTTCCTGCACTATTCTCGTCCCACAGTCCCACCGAGTAGTTGGTGTGTTTTCGTCTCATGTCCTAGCTCAGGGAGGCTGAGAAGAGGATCAGCTTCGCATGAGGGCGCGAGAATAGCACCGGCAAATCACAGAACAGGAGATAGTTTAGCCAGGCGCAGCACATGACGCCGTGGTGAGCGCTACTGCAGGAACGAAAATTCACTATCGATAGGCTGTATGGAGCCGGGGCGGGAATTACAGCACACGAGGCGAGGGGCGTGGCGCTTATGCTTTGCGTCCAACCACGGCGTGCGCTCGTGAGCAGCGAGGTCGTGAAGAAGGTCGTGCGATGCTGTGCCGCACGAGGAGGCTGCTTTCGGACCACAGGCAGGACGCCGTGTCGTGACAAGTCACCACCAAGCGACCAAGCAGAGTAGCGAAATGGCGAACGAGAGTTACGCTTCGCCGCGTTATTGCCGCGCCGGTTGGAGCCAGTTGGCGCAATCTCGCTGTCCCGGGGTCCCGCGCGAATGGAGGCAGACAGCCGCTCACCGACTACTACAGAGAGGGGGCCAGCAGTGGCAGCGTTGTTTTGGCGTGGTGCGAACAGCCGCCCCTATCGTAAAAGAAAAGGAGGTTTATCGCGATGACATAGACGCCACTGCCGACACCCGCATTGCAATTGCGATGTGCCATTTCAGTGGGTCGCCATGATGTCGCCGCCGCCGGTGCAGCACTTCGGGACCGTCTGCCAGTGGGAGCGGCGGCCTGTGAGATTGCGATGCTGCAACGGGCCACGGCTTGCCGCCAATTCAGGTACCCAGACTACCTATACCAAACAAAGACGACAACAAGCGATGATCCGGCCTCATTGTGGCACGCCGGCCGGTGTTACGTGCGACTACCTACCGAATACGCAGATGAGCCAGGTGCGCTCAGGTGGAGTAGATCGCCTTGGACATGAGACGTTGGAGCAGCAGCGTCGACGACGGGAGCGGCGCGGATGCTTCACGATCACCACCATCACCAGCGCCGCCTCCACACAATGCGGCTCATCAGCGTGCCCGATTCATTTGGCCCAGCAAGGCTGCCGGCCGGTACTCAGCTTATCCATGTGAAGGATCCCCTAACTGACATGTTTCAGCTTACTGTTCCTGGACTAGCGGCCGGTGCGCAGCGCCTCACGGTCCAACGAGAGCATGGCAGCACGCTCCCAGGACGTCCCATGCTCCACGTACTAATCTAGGGTTTCACCTCGCTAAACCAAAGTATGCCTTCATCTCCCCTAAAAGAAGCCTCTAGCACCGTTCCAGCGTGATAACCGCCCGTTTCCCCATCTCTCCCGTCCTTCTTTTACTGCGTCCTTTCCTTCGCCCTGTCACTCCTTTGGCACCGCCAGCAACATTCGCTACCCATCCAACTAGTTGTCTTCGTGACAACGCTACACTCCTTTCCAGGTCTATCTTCTTGAAGCGCAGGAGAGTCCTGGCGCCTGAGTTATTCACTTCGTCAACCTACCCGGAAGCGACTTCGAATCCCCTCCGACCAGCATAGTGAAAAAAGCACTCACCTTGTCTCAACAACCGACCTTCTCGCAAGACTACTCAACCACCGACTCCCCTCCCAATTCAAGTCGACCGACCATTCAACCATGAAGTCTTTCGCACCCTTCTACGCGGCGGCCGTCCTCTCCGGCACCGCCAGCGCCTTCTGGCGCATGCCCTGTACCGACCGCACTGCGCTTGCGCGTCTCGACCCCATCGTCGACGAGGGAACTGCTTCCTCTCACAGCCACACCATCCACGGTGGAAGCAGTAAGTGAAGACCGCCCCCTCCTGCTTCGGCCCTCTTGGCAAGGCGTATGATGAGTGAGCATGTGTTCTGGAGCTGTCAGGGAACGTCTAAACAAGGGGACCCCGAGTTGACAGGGTCCACGCGAATCATTCATGCAACGACTCTCCATATGGGCGCCTGAGGCAGGGGCTGTTTCGCGGATAATACAGTTTGCTAACAGCCGACAGACTTCGCCGAGACGACCACCTATGACATGCTCCGTAAGTCGGAGTGCACCTCGTGCCAGTTCGACGACGACAAGTCCGCCTACTGGACCCCTTCCCTCCACTTCGTCCACGAGAATGGAAAGACCGAGATCGTTCCTCAGATCGGTGGTATGCTCGCATACTACCTTCTCATCGGCGACAACCTGGAGGCTTTCCCCGAGGGCTTCCAGATGCTCGCTGGTGACACACGTCTCCGCAACTTCACCGGTCCCGTTCCTGACCCGCCAACCTCTTCCTGGACTGCGGACGACATGACCCAGCTGTCTCTTGGCCAGAAGGCCATCGGCATGAACTGCATGAACTACGGCAGGGCTCCCGAGGGCTCGCGCTACCGTCACTTCCTCCCTGACAAGGAGTACATGGACGAGAACTGCGCCGACGGTATCCGTGCTGAGATCATGTTCCCCTCATGCGGTAACGGCGATGCGACCGCTCCTGACCACAAGAGCCACATGGCTTACCCCAACATGGTCGACGGTGGCGAGTGCCCTGAAGGTTACAACAAGCGCTACCCTACGCTCTTCTACGAGACCATCTGGAACACCAACAAGTTCAAGGGCATGCCTGGTCAATTCACATTCTCCAACGGTGACCCCACTGGTAAGTCCACATGCTAGCTTTCTTACGAGCCAATTACTAACTAGAATCAGCCTACGGATACCACGCTGATTTCATCAACGGCTGGAACATCGATACCCTCCAACAAGCTGTCGAGACCTGCACCAACCTCTCTGGTCGCGTTGAGGACTGCCCTGTCTTCGCCGGAAGCCTCCAGACCCAGGCCGAGCAAGCCATGTGCAAGATCCAGGACATGCCCAAGATTCTCGACATCGACGACTGCGCTGGTCCTTCCAACGGCCTCTGCGGTAACGTCAAGGTTCAATACGGACCCGAGTACGCCTCTCCCCTCGAGGGAGGCGACAAGGACGACGAGGAGCCCGTCAAGCCCATCTCCTCCTCTGCTTCCGCCCCTGTCCCTACTCAGTCCTACGCTCCTGCCCACTCCCTCGGTGGCGGCGGTATCTCTGTCTACAACGTCGAGAGCCCTTCCTCCATGGTCACCAAGTCCTCTTCTTCTTCCTCCATGGCCGACTACGCTGCGCCTGTCGTCACCCCCATTGCCGACATTGCCAACGCCCTGAAGGACGACGAGATTGTGTCCACCTCTACCTACACCAAGGACGGTGTCGTGTACGAGGTTGCCATTGTTGAGGTTGTCGTCACCACCACTGTTGGTGCTGACCGCCGCCGACACGCACACAAGCACCGCCGCGACCACGGTCACATGGGCCGCAACTAAGTCTTTACTTTTCAATGAAACAAAAAAGACTTTGACGATAAGCAACCCAAAGCATAAACGGTTCTTGCATGCACATCGGCGTTCTTCTACGACAGCACACGACGACAATAGAGGAGACACTTGGTCCCTCCTGCCTAGCTTCTAGCATCCCTTCCTCTCGGCCCTCCATTGGGGGCAGCCGGGGTTCGCGCGGATTGACATCACTTGGCAAGACACATAGCTACGGCGAGGGCAAAAACCTTTTTCTTTGTCTGATTCCCTTTACCTTTCTGTACCATTCTGTTTTGAAACTGTTGGGTTGGTGTGTGTTTGGGGAAGGCTGTAGGAAGGCTGAGCCAGATCACAGCTTGTGCCCCCTTGTAGGGACAAGAAAGAAAGTGGATCTTAGAAACAAAGGAGAGATGTAGATTTGCGCACGATACCATTGAATCTGTTTTTGCTTTGTTTTGAATGTCATGTCTCATGATCTATGCCTTGTAGTGTGGGTTGGTGAGTCGATTGACTTTTTGCCTGTCGGGCTTGTGGTGCTGTCCTGACTT